CTGCAAACTTGGCAACATGAAGACTTATGGACTTCAACTCCCAGAAGTCCTCAGCGAGACTTATGGACTTCAGCTCCCAGAAATCCTCAGATAGACTGGTGGACTTTAACTCCCAGAAGTCTTCAGACAGACTTGTGGACTTCAACTCCCAGAAGTCCTCAGACAGACTAGTGGACTTCAACTCCCAGAAGTCTTCAGACAGACTTGTGGACTTCAACTCCCAGAAGCCTTCAGACAGATTTATGGACTTCAACTCCCAGAAGTCCTCAGACAGACTGGTGGACTTCAATTCCCAGAGGTCCTCAGCCAGATTGGGGGACTTCAACTTCCAGAAGTCCTCAGACAGATTTGTGGACTTCAACTTCTAGAATTCTAGGAGTTGAAGTCCACAAGTCTTAAAGTTGACAAGTTTGGAGACCCCTGATTCATGCAATGGTCTGTTCAACAAACTTTTCTTGATTGTCATTTACACCAATTATTACTGGTCCTAATTATAACACCAATTACATCAATTATTCCTGATCCAAAAAATACTGGGGGCATTTTTTTCTAATGCTATATTTTCATGTATCTGAATGTGGTCATCACAGTACCCTTCTGTACACATGAATGGATGAATTTCTCCAGGTGAACAGACCAGTTTTTTTCAGTATGTTCACATGGAGCATGTCTTCAAGTCCCTGCATTATCTTTCTTGTTTTAACTAGTCTATAATCCCAGAATCATACACAATAATTGAGGTGTTGACTTATCAGAACACAATACAGGGGAATGAATATACCTAGCACTGATGAGGTTATCTAATTGGGTAATGAAATGTCTTCAAGAAACAACCAAGCTCAGAGAGCACTCAAGACCCCACAATAAGTACTTCACATCTCTTTCACGTGAAACTTGTTTTGTTGTTGTTCAGAACTGCGTCAGCGGCAAAAACAGCACCGAAAAGGCACATGCACTGAGGACCCAAATCCAGCTGTTGTGGTTTCTTTAGATGGTGGTTAAAATCAAGATGTGTGGGATTCATATGTGATCCACTATTATTTCATCTCTAACTATAATATTTTGCCAAATTGCTTTGATGGGAGATTTATGTTCAGAACCACTAGATGGCACTGCAACCCCACGTTTGAGAAATGAGCCATCGGTAGCCAAAATACAGAATAACATAGATGATTTGGAGATCACAGAGTCCAACTCCCTGCTCAGGCAGGAAACCCTATAGCAGTGATGGCACACCTTTTCAGCATCGAGTGCCCAAAGTGGAACATGTGTGAGTGCATGTGTGTGCATGCGCCAGAGTGCCAGAAACCTGCTGAGCTGGTGCTGTCTTAAAACATTTCCCCGTTCATATGGTCAGCATGACACCATGGAGTCATGCTATGGATGGAAATCAATCATGAAGAGAAGCAACCTGGAATTAAGGAGAATCTTCCTAACAACGAGGACAATTAACCAGTGGAACAGCTTGTCTTCAGAAGTTGTCGGTGCTCCATCACTGGAAGATTTTAAGGAAAGACTGGAGAGCCACTTATCTGGAATAGCAATAAATAGCACTTACACTTATATACCACTTCACAGTGCTTTTACAGCCCTCTCTAAGTGGTTTACAAAGTCAGCATATTGCCACCAACAATCTGGGTCCTCATTTTATCCACCTTGGAAGGATGGAAGGCTGAGTCAACCTTGAGCCTGGTGTGATTCAATCTGCCAAACTGCTGGAAGCTGGTGATCAGCAGAAGCAGCCTGCAGTACTGCACTCTAACCACTGCGCTACCCCGGAATGGTATAGGGTCTCCTGCTAGAGCAAGGGGTTGGACTAGAAGACCTCCAAGGTTCTTTCCAACTCAGTTATTCTCATTAATCGCTTGGATGATCACTCAGTATCACCAGTTTCTGCTAGTAAATTCCCGTATTTTAGATGATCCCTGAATGTCAACAGAAGACCTCCAAGGTTCCTTCCAGCGCTATTTGAGTGATAATGAAAAGAAGGACTAGCGGTGACATGATCGCCATCTTCCAATATCTAGTGCGGGCAAAGACAGTGCTATTACCTTCCCACTGAAGTGGTACCCATTTCTCTACTTGCATTTACGTGCTTTCGAACTGCTAGATTGGCAGGAACCTGAGCCAAGGTTCGGAGCTCACCCCTTTCATGTGGTGCTGAAGTCTCGAACCTGGGCTGCCAGCTTTCCAGCCAACAAACCCAGTGTGTTAACCGATAAGTCACCGCATGACCTCTCATGCTTTAATAAGATGGTCTTTCATAGGAATGATCTGAGGTCTCTCCCAACCCAGTTATTCCATGGTCTATTTACTACACTTAATAGGATGGTCTTTAACAGGATAGGCTGGGCTGTGAATAGGAAAGGCTGATGTATCTCCAGAACATGGGATTGGCTATGAAAAGAGGACACGCTCTACTCCTCTCATGGAGTGAGACTTTCAACAGATGTTCTCCAGATGTTCAGGCTGTTTAGAGCTTTTATTTTCTTGGAAGTCTGTATCTCTCACTAGCAACCAGTTGGAATCCCAAAGCATCATAGCAAATCCTGCTGGCCACAGAGCAGTCTTGGGAAGTGAAAAAGAGGGATGTCTATGAAGCTTCTTAATCATCCAGGTCATGGTTGTCCCAAAGGTGCTTTTCCAAAAGGCAGCTAGACATTCTTGGTTGTTTTTGTTCCCCCTTCCTTGAAAAGGTTTCTCTTCACATCCAAGAATTTAATTTAATTTAATTTAATTTATCGCATTTCTATGCCGCCCAACTCCCACGGGACAGTGATGGCTAACCTTTTTGCTGTCACGTGCCAAAAGCGGGGTAACCCATAATTCAATGGGCCCCGTGCTCCCCCCGCTTTTGGCACGTGATGGCACCAGGTAGGCCTGTTTTTCACCCTCCTCAGGCTCCAGAGGCTTTCTAGGAGCCTGGGGAGGGCGAAAACGGCCTTCCCCACCGCCCCCAGAGGCCCTCCGGAAGCAGGAAACAGACCGTTTCCTGACTTCTGGTGGGCCCAGAAGGCCCGAAAATCAGCTGGCCAGCATGCACATGCACACTGGAGCTGAGCTAGGACAACACTCACGTGCCCACAGATATGGCTCCACGTGCCACCTCTGGCACGTGTACCATAGGTTCGCCATCATGGCTCTAGGATGAGAACCGAAGAAGCTTCTTGGATGAGAAGTGAAACATTTTCAAAGAAACTGCCTCCCACCCAAGAAGGAGGAGGAGGAGAAGGAGGAGGAGGAGAAGGAGAAGGAGCAGAAGGAGAAGGAGAAAGGAGGAGGAGGAGGAGGAGGAGAAGGAGAAGGAGAAAGGAGGAAGAGGAGAAGAAGAAGAAGAAGAAGAAGAAGAAGAAGAAGAAGAAGAAGAAGAAGAAGAAGAAGAAGAAGAAGAAGAAGAAGAAGAAGAAGAAATAACAGAGTAGGAATGGGATTTGCATGGAGGAGGAGAAGGAGAAGGAGAAGGAGAAGGAGAAGAAGGCATGCCATCAGGTGAGACAAGATTGGTTTTAGTGCTGATTTTAGGTCTACTCCAATGATTTATTTCTGGAAATAGAAATACGCTCAGTGGTGCTTATTTGGATGTTAAGAACAGATCACTTCTTCGGTGGGGATTTGAGATAAAAACGGTCCTTTCGTCCATCCCCTGCACACACACCCCTTTTGAAAAGAAACAAACAAAAAAAGTCACATTTCAGCTTCTTTTTCTTTTCATTTTTTTATTATTTTATGTGCTCAAATACAAAATAGGAAGGGAAAAATATATAACTTTTTTCTTTAAAAAAAAAAAAACACTAACCAAGAATACATCACAGTGCGTGTATATAAAATACAGTCCCAGGACAAAATGGCTCACTGTTTTTGAACAGCAGACTAAAATTTTTAGTCTTTTCCCTGCATTTACATAGGGATCCTTTGAAATTCTGAAAGTCAAACTCATTTCAATCCACGATTTCAGGACATCCTCTGCATGTCCAAGGACTGACAAATTTCAAATTTTGGGGACACCCTTATAAACGGTACATTCACATCTTGAGATCTTAATTCTTTCCATAACGTATTCCATAAAAGTATAAATAGTAAACAGAAAGGGGGGATAACCGCTGTATACTTTGAAGGCTGAGTGGGTAGCAGAAGCAAAGATTTTAGAACATTACATTTTTTTGGGACAAGATCCCTGATATGATAATATATATATATTTTTAATTTACACTCTTTAAAAACTTTGCCATCTCGAAGAGCTTTTGAGACAACGCCAGATCTTGGGAGTTAATTTGCAGCGAGGTATCCAATCACCTCACCAAAATCATTCAAGATCTTGGTTAAGAAAGTCCAACATAGCTTATATGAATGCTTGCTTAATGGACCCTTGTTAAAAAACTTTTCTGATTACCATGTAAAACTTCCATTACGTTGTATAGAGAATGACTACGTGCCCTCAAGTCTTTGTTAATCATATAGTTAGATAGAATGGAATGGAATGGAATGGAATGGAATAGAATAGAATAGAATAGAATAGAATAGAATAGAATAGAATAGAATAGAATAGAATAGAATAAATAGGGACGGGACGGGATGGGACGGAACGGAACGGAACGGAACAGAACAGAATAGAATAAATAGGGATGGGATGGGATAGAATAGAACAGAACAGAACAGAACAGAACAGAACAGAATAGAATAAATAGGGATGGGACGGGACGGGACAGAATGGAACGGAACTGAACTGAACTGAACAGAACAGAACAGAACAAAATAGAATAGAATAGAATAGAATAGAATAGAATAGAATAGAATAGAATAGAAAATAGAATAGAATAGAATAGAATAGAATAGAATAGAATAGAATAGAAAGAATAGAATAGAATAGAATAGAATAAATAGGGATGGGATGGGATGGGATGGAATGGAATGGAATGGAATAGAATAGAATAGAATAGAATAGAATAGATATAGAATAGAATAGAAATAGAATAGAATAGAATAGAATAGAATAGAATAGAATTCACAACTTCTGGTGGCAAGTTATTCCACTGGTTAACTGTCAAGAAATTTCTCCTTCGTTCTAAGTTGCTTCTCTCCTTGATGAGTTTCCACCCTTCGCTTCTTGTCCTGCCCTCAGGTGCTTTGGAGAATAGCTTGACTCCCTCTTCTTTGGGGCAGCCCCTGAGATATTGGAAGATTGCTATCCTGTCTCCCCTGGTCCTCCTTTTCATTAAACTAGACATACCCAGTTCCTGCAACTGTTCTTCATATGTTTTAACCTCCAGTCCCCTAATCATCTTTATTGCTCTTCTCTGCACTCTTTCTAGATAGGATTCTGATTTGAAGGCACATAGTCCACGGTAATGTGTCCCCTAACTTGGTCAACAATAGACAACAAAAAGCAAAAACAATCAAAGCAAAAACCATTTTGTACTTCACAAGGTGGTAATTCTGGGTTAAGGCGTCTCATTGTCAAGCAAAAAATAGTAAATTAAAAATGATGCATTTAGCGAAAAGATCTGCACAATTGTAGGACTTGAGGAAAACATTGAGGAAAAAGTAAGAGATTGTATAGTTAGCACCCCCTTCGAAAGTATAATAAGCATAACATTTATCCACAGGACTCCCAAATTTAGACACAATGGGGGGGAGATCAAAGCAGGTTTTGGGGGCTTCCTAAGAAGCAAATCTTTGTGGTAAATAAAATTTAGAATAACAGAAGGGACCTTGGAGGTCTTCTAGTCCAGCCCCCTGCTTAGACAGGAAACCCTACACCACTTCAGACAAGTGATTATCCAGCCTCTTCTTAAAAACTTCCAGTGTTGGAGCATTCGCAACTTCTGGAGGCAACTTGTTCCACTGGTTAATTCTTCCTCACTGTCAGGAAATTCCTCCTTGGTTCTAGGTTGCTTCTCTCCTTGATGAGTTTCCACCCATCGCTTCTTGTCCTGCCCTCAGGGGCTTTGGAGAATAGCTTGACTCCCTCTTCTTTGGGGCAGCCCCTGAGATATTGGAAGACTGCTATCATGTCACTCCAGGTCCTTCTGCAAATAAGGAGCGCCATGAAATCTGTCCACCAGCTGTGCTCAAGGATCTCTCCTTGAGGTCAGTCCGAGTTGCATTTCTAGTGGTCCCTCTTAAATTCCAATGTTTACTAGGAATTTGTAAATTGTAAAAAAAATTGGAATTCCAAGCACCATGGACCGGACAAACTTTCTAACACTATGCTCGCATTGACATGACATACACATGTGCTCTGGGGTGAGGAAGCCAAATTGAAGAAGCTTCCTTTTCTATAAAAACACAGGTAGTCCTCGACTTACGACCACAGTTGAGCCCAACGTTTCTGTCGCTAAGCCAAGATGGCGGTTAGGTGAATTTCGGCCCCATTTCTCCATCTTTCTTGCCACCGTTGTTAAGTGAATCAACCACGGTTGTTTAGTTAGTAGCACTCTGGATTCCCCATTGACTTTGCTTGTCCGAAGGTCGCAAAATAGCCCTTAGATTTATATACCACTTGGAAGGGAGGGAGGAAGGAAGGAAAAGGAAGAGTAATAGCAATAGCACTTAGACTTATATTATTATTATTATTTATTAGTTTGATTTATATGCCGCCCTTCTCTGGAGACTCAGGGCGGCTTACAATGCTTTTAAGCAATAGCCTTCATACTTTTGTATATACCTGCTTAGTAGAGCTTTTTGGCCCCCCCAAGCGGTGTTCTATTTTATACAAAGTCAGCTTATTGCCCCCACAAACCGGGTCCTCATTTTACCTACCTCGGAAGGATGGAAGGCTGAGTCAACCTTGAGCCTGGTGAAAATTGAACTCGTAGTAATTGCAGGCAGCTGGCAGCTAAATACTACTAAACAGTAGTTTAGTCCACTGCACCACCAGGCTCCTTATATACTACTTCACAGGAAGGAAGGAAGGAAGGAAGGAAGGAAGGAAGGAAGGAAGGAAGGAAGGAAGGAAGGAAGGAAGGGGAAAACCAAGAGCAATAGCACTTAGACTTATATACCGCTTCACAGGCAGGCAGGCAGGCAGGCAGGCAGGCAGGCAGGGAAGGAAGGAAGGAAGGAAGGAAGGAAGGAAGGAAGGAAGGAAGGAGAAAAAGAAGAGCAATAGCAATAACACTTAGAATTATATACTGCTTCACAGGAAGGAAGGAAGGAAGCTTTACAGTCCCCTCTAAGCGGTTTACAGAGTCATCCTATTGCCCACCCCAACAATCTGGGTCCTCGTTTCACCGACCTCGGAAGGCCAGGTCAACCAAAAGGGAATCGCGCGACCCCAGGACACCGCCACTGTTTCAAAACATGAATCCGTTGTCGAGAGTCTGAATTTTGATTGCACGGCCATAGGGATGCCACACTGGTTGTATAAGTGTGAAAAATGGACCCATAAGACACTTCCCCCCCACCCCCAGTGCCGTTGTAACTTTGAACGCGGTTGCTAAACACACTTGTTGTAAGTCGAGGACTACCCGTATGGACCTCTCAACTTTTCTCTGCTCTCCTTCGGAAGCAGAAGCAAGGGAGATCTCCGGCGAGACGGGGACGTTTGGGGAAGCCATCTTAGCCCTGAGTTTCTTTTCAATATTTTTTTTTCCGCTTTGTTTCCAACGGTGCCTAGCTTTAGCAAAAACCCACCCACCGACTCCCATTCAACCCTGACGCTAATGCTAGGCAGTTGATGGATTCTTCTCCGTCTTTAGCCAACGAAATACGCGCCAAAAAAAGTGAAATGCGTTTCTGGCTCTACCAAGGCAGGGTTGGAAACATTCACCATCACCTTGTCGTCTTTCTTGAATAACCTGACCCCTGCCACGTAAAGGCATCTGTGCGATTGGGTCTCGATGGAACTCGTGGACATAAGAAAGACTGTCGGTTTAGGTGCGGAATACTCTAAAGTTTCGTACTTAACCTCCAGCCACACATTTTTGGGGCCCCTGGTTTTCATCCCGCAGCAACTGTTTCCTCCGCAATGGCACCTCGAGCAGGAAAATGTCACTTGGGTGTAAACAAAATATCTTCCGTCTTTGGGGATGATGAAAGAAACGTTTTCCTCATCCAGTCGGAACTTCCCTTCTTTGGACTGAATGTCCCAAAGGAGGTTTGAAGCAACCGGATTCCCATTCACGCATTTGCTCCGAGAGATGTTAGAATTGACTGTGGGGAACAAAGAGAAAGAAAACCCTGGTTTATTTTTAATTTTTTTTTTTTAAATTTGATTTATATGCCGCCCTTCTCCAGAGACTCAGGGCGGCTTACAATGCGCTAAGCAATAGCCTTCATCCTTTTGTATATTTTATACAAAGTCAGCTTATTGCCCCCACAAACTGGGTCCTCATTTCACCTACCTTAGAAAGGATGGAAGGCTGAGTCAACCTTGAGCCTTGGCGAGATTCGAACCAGCAGTAAATTGCAGGCAGCTGTGTTAATAACAGGGTGCGTAGACCACTGTACTATCAAGGCTCTGATATTATTGGCAAGTTTTGGATAACATAGAACTGTGTCGCTTGCGGTCAGACCCTAAATGGGGTTACTGCAAAATCCCCATTTCCTCCCTATCATCTGGGACTTGGGAGGCAGAGAATAGATGGGGGCGGGGCCAGTCAGAATTTTTACTACTGGTTCTCCAAACTATTTAAAATTCCCGCTACTGGTTCTCCAGAACTGGTCAGAACCTGCTGAAACTCACCTCTGGTGCTCCCGACATGAGGGACATCGAGCTGGCCACAAGGTCGAACACAACCCTGATGAGGCCCTCAATGAAATGGAGTTTGACACCCCTGCTCTAGAGAGACCCACTGCAGAATACCAACTAATAAAATTGGACTTCGCTAAAAAAAAATTTACCTCGTGCATGAACGCTCGGCCGGATTGTGGCATCTGAAATGTAAAGGAAAAGAAAAGATGTTAAGCCAGCAGAATAATTGTCCCTGAACATCTGATCCCAGGACTAGATTTGCAACTACGTTCGGGTAAAATTCCAGAAGACGACTTCCGTATAAATCGCAAATGCACCGCTGATTTTAGGAAATATAGATACTAAGAAATCGCGGGATATCTTTACGGCTACGCCTATTCTCCTCTACGCATATATATTTGAATATCTAATTGTGATATTGAAATCTCAGCTTTCCTTTTTGATCACAACTACAGAATTTCCATACTGCAGGAATGACGTCCCTTGTTAACTGGATTTAATATTTGAGTGGCTTACACCTGGGATTAGGGGTCCTTGGGTCTCTCTGATCTTGGTTGTTTTCTTGCAGACATCTCATTACCCAATTAGGTAACATCATCAGTGCTAGAAGGGAGTGGGGGTTGCTATGACTGTGTATTACTGTTTCGGACAGGAAGGCTGTGCAGAAAGTGGTGAGGACAGCAGAAAAGATTACTGGAAGTTTACTTCCTTCTGTTCAGGAAATGACATATAAGTGATGCTTGTCCATGGTCTGCAGTATTGTCTGGAATGCTACATATAATCTCCATGCCTTTGTCACCTTCCGGCAGGACATTTCGTAGTATCGAAAAGCAGAACAATTAGATTCTGAAACAGCTTTGTACCATATAGTATCAATCTTCTTAACTCTCGAGATTCTTTTTTTTCCCACTACGAATTCAAAATGGACTGTAATTAATATATATGTACCAGTATCTATCTCTATCTCTATATGTGTCTGCATGTATGTGTACAGAAAAAAGTGTCAATAAAGGTTATCTTATCTATCTTATCTTTTCAATCCTTTTAGTACTGATAATGCTACCTAGTTGGGTAATGAAACGTCTGCAAGAAAACAAGCTCAGAGAGCACCAAGGACCCCATAGTCCTCCTCCTTGTCTTCTTCCTCCTCCTCCTAGCACTGATGATACTACCTAGTTGGGTAATGAAACGAGTGCAAGAAAACAACCAGATTCAGAGAGCACGAAAGAATCCTCATTTCTTTCTTTTTTTATATATATAATATTTTTATTAATATATTCTATACACTAATACACAAATAAAATATACAATCCTGCCACCATGGTATAATATGATTACATTGTCCATAAGTATAAAGTCATTCCTTTATACATACATATTTACCATCATATATATACATCATCATATATCTATTCTACCCACCTTTTCTGGACCCAATCGTACCATACTTTCCAACTGTTATAAAATTCTGAATCTTTTTTACCATTGATCAATCTAATTAATCTATCTGATTCCGCACACTCATTAATTTTATATATTATTTTCAAATCTATCGGTAAGTATTGATTTTTCCACTCCTGCGCATACGCTAATCTTGCTGCAGTGATAATGTGAATCAACAAGAATCATATATCTGATTTAACATTCAAAGGTTTTGCCCCCAATAGGAAAATCTCAGGTCTTAATTCCAAATTAATCTGTGTAATTTCCAAAATCCATTGCCGTATTTTTTTCCAGTATTTAACCGCCTGCAGGCAGGTCCACCATTGGTGAAAATAGGTTCCATTAGTGTAACCGCACTTCCAACAGCAGGCAGATGTCCCGGGAAACATTTTAGCTAATCTCGCCGGGGGGGGAGATGCCACCGGTAGATCATTTATATATGTTTTCTTTATATGAGGAAGCCATGGTTAATTTCATATTTTTCAACCAAATCTGTTCCCATTGCTGGAAGTCAAGGGGATATCCAAAATTTCGCCCCCATGCTATCACACAATCCTTCACTACATCCTGTCCTATCTGCAGAGACAATAAATATGCATAACATTTAGATAATATCCCTTTCCCTCCTTCTAATAAGATCTTATTCAATTCTTGTCTTTTATGGTAGATTCCTTCACTATATAAATCTTTTTTATACCTGGAGTGCACTTGAGAATAAGACCACCAGTCTATCTTATATTCTTGAAGAGTTAATAATTCTCGTGACTTCGGATTACCCTGAACATCCAAGAAACCTTCATATGTCAAGGTTTTCTCCCCTTTATACAATGTCGGGTAAATCTGAGCTTCCTGCGCCGAAATCCAACATGGAACTTTTGAATATACTCTTCTTCTAACCTTTTCCCAAGTGTACCCAAACGTCCTACGTAAATAGTGATCATCAAAGTGTCTAGGGCGGCCGGATGCTCCCGGCCATAGAAAATAGTGCCAGCCATGTTGAAGACCCGCTCCCTCAAATGTCAAAAGTCGTCTCTTTTGTAGGACCATCCATTTCTTTCACCCAAATCAAGTTCACTGCTTGGTGATTGAGCTCCCAATTTGGGAGTCCAAATCCTCCTCTATTTTTGGGTTCTTGTAACATTTTAAATCTAATCCGCGGCCTCTTTCCCTGCCAGATAAATTTAGATATAATCCTATCCAAATTTGTAAAAAACTCTTTATTCAACCTTACTATTCTCCTCTACGCATATATATTTGAATATCTAATTGTGATATTGAAATCTCAGCTTTCCTTTTTTGATCACAATTACAGAATTTCCATACTGCAGTGTCAGGGCATTTATTAATCCCATGTTTGGCTCTGGGACTAATTACCCTGGTTTAGAGTAGATGAATCGAGGCTTATCCTTGTTTGCAATATTCTGAAAAGAAACGCGAGAAAGGTTTCTAATAAAACTCATTTATTTGTTATAAAGAAAATAAAACACCTCACTAACTAAGAAAAGTTAATTGTTACATTTTTGAAAGTAATTCTTGCCGGCTATCTGAGCCGGACCTTTTTGGAAAGAGAACAAAGGAAAGAGTGTGTGAAGCAGGGCGGATTTTCCTATAGGCTAACTAGGCTTCAGCCTAGGGCCTCAAGATCCAGAGGGGCCTACACAGTGTGGGATTCTGGGGGTTCTAGGTGGCTCTGCCGAACCCTTTGTTAAATTGCTGGCTCCCCCGCCCCTCCGCACCACTATTTATTGCCAATAAATAGTGGTGGGCGAGGGGCGGGGGAGCCAGCAATTTAACAAAGGTTCGGTGTTTTTTTTTTTGTAATTTTATTGGCCCCCGGAGCTTCAGCAGAGGCTAATTGGCCTCCCGGCTCTCAGCTGATTTGTCTCCGCTGTTTTGCTCAGGGCTCTTCTGCTTCCGTGCAAAGAAACGAAACTGAAACTGCTTTGCTGTTGCTGCAAGGTTGGAAAATTAGGCAGGCAGAATTCTTTTCTTTTTCCTCACCAAAAAAGGTACGTGCGAACAATGGGAATTTTAGGGAAAAAGAGAAGAGTTCAGGATTTTAAAACACAAAAGAAAAAAAGCTGTATTTAACTAGGGAATTGTAATAATTGAGATACTATTAATTGTATATTTCTGAAAGCAGAAATGGTTAAGTTGTGGTTTGGAGGAATATATGGGGGAAATTATTTGTTTATTATTATTGGTAAATATAATTAATGGATTTGTAAGAAATTGGATTGCATGGAAATAATTGGAATATTCATGTTCATATTGATTAATATACAAAAAAGGTAGTTATATAACTAATTGATTTATATTAAAATGTTGAATTTATATTAAACAACTAATATTACATAATTAAGCAATGTGGGATGGATATAAAAATAGATGACAATGGGAAGGGGTATAATATAGAATAGAAGGGAAAAATTGAATTTGATTAAGATTAGAGATGAGGATGAGGGTAATATTGGTTTTTTACAAAAATAGATGAGGAATAAATATGGCAAAAAGGAAATATAGAAATTGTAAATTTAATTGAAATGACTAAACACTGTTTAAATTTGTGAACCGGCCAAATACTCTGTTCAAAGAAAATACATTGTATGTTTGTATGTGTGTTTCTAATTATTGTTATTTATTCATATTTGTTCTCTTTTATTCTTTAAAGTTTAACAATTCATTCTTTATCTTAATATCTTTATATTTGTTTGGGGTTGGCTTTCTTCCCTTTCATCTTTTTTATTGTATAGCAATCTTTCTCCTCAAACTTACCACCTCTCTTTTCTTTCCTTCTTACTTTCTCTTCCTCCCTCTTCTTCTCCTCCCTACTTCCTCTTCCTTTCTCCTTCTCCTCCTCTCTTCCTCCTCTCTCTTACTCTAATTTCCCTTCCCTTCCTTCATCCCTCTCTATTGCTGTATCCTTTTATGCATATGGACTACTCAGAGGGCTGAAAAAGTTATTTCTGACTGGTCCTTGCACTTTTGACCAGTCCTCGAACTTACGACTGTCCTCACATTTTACGTTTTTGCCCTATCTTGTCACCATGGTGAAGAAAAGCAGTTGTGAAATGAGTGACATGGTTGTTAAGAAAGCTGCACGGGCATAAATGTGAGGATGGTCATAAGTGTGAGGACCGGTCAAAAGTGCGAGGCCAGTCAGAAATGACTTTTTTCAGCCCTCTGAAAAAAGTCTATGCACATAGCCACGCCCACCCGTCACATGACGAGCTACCCACGCCTACACAGTCACATGACCAGCTAGCCACGCCCGCCCAGTCACATGATTGCCAAGCCACACCCCCAACTAAGCCACGCCCACAGAACCTGTTGTTAAAAAATTGAATCCCACCACTGGTGAAAGGGCCTCATAAGTGGAATAGCCTAGGCCTCTTTCAATCTAAATCCGGCCCTGGTGTGAAGGAATGTGGGTGGATACGGAAACACGTAGCTTACTGATAAGAAGTTGGCAAAGCTACGGAGAGTCTGACAGTCCAGAAATAATGAAGCTCAGCTGGGAAATAAAATAACGCAGTGACATGCAGGAATGATGTTCCTTGTTAACTGGATTTAATATTTGAGTGGCTTACATCTGTGATTAGGGGTCCTTGGGTCTCTCTGATCTTGGTTGTTTTCTTGCAGACATCTCATTATCCAATTAGGTAACATCATCAGTGCTAGAAGGGAGTGGGGGTTGCTATGACTGTGTATTACTGTTTCGGACAGGAAGGCTGTGCAG